TTGTATAAATGTATTATTAATATATGTTCCAAAATTATATGAGATTCCTAAAATTCTGATGTCTTTGTATATGTTATTAGTAATTTATGAGTATTACATTAAATTGTTGTATGACAGAAATAATCAAATCTCCTTGTCAATTGCATCTTTAACCATGGCTATTCTGATTTGGTCATCTACAATTATTGTTTTATTTGATTCTTCTCAAAAAGCAGTTTATAATCAGCTGCAGTTCAAAATTAAGTGCTTCTTTAAGAAAATTCATGAAAAAGACCCTGACAAGCACTCTTTTTTTTTTTTAACATTTTTTATCATTATTTTAAAATATTAAGGGGATACATATGTTTTGGATTACATGGATCTCTTTGTAATGCTTGAGTCCTGGCTATAGGTGTGTCCATCACCCAAATAGCATTCATAGTACCCATTAGGTTGCTTTATCCCCTCCCTTCCTTCCCCCTTCCTCCTGGTTGCTTTCCATTGAGTTTTACTTCCCTTTGTGCACATGTGTGCTCATCAGTTAGGTCCAATTTAATAGTGACTACATATGGTGTTTTTTTTTTCTATTCTTGTGATACTTCACCTAGGAGAATGGTCTCCAATTTCATCCATATTGTTGTAAAAGATATTAATTCATCTTTTTTATGGCTGAGTAGTATTCCACGGTGTACACATACCACATTTTATTAATTCACTCGAGTTGATGGACACTTGGGTTGATTCCACATCTTTGCAATTGTGAATTGTGCTGTAATGTGACAAGCAATCTTGAATACAAGTGTCTGATAACTTTGGAGATTATACCATTGAGCTAGGTAAAATCTTCCAGAACTCTAGTTAAGAAAATGTATGAGGATTGCTAACACAACATGAAGCAGAACAAGAGTTAATTATATGGGACTGAACTGATAGTGGACTGAACAGTTTTTTCCATGAATTTTTCTGTTTGAAACATTGCTGATTCTTTTTATGTTTTATTTCCAAAGTCAAGAAAACTTTTTTTTCTTTTAAACTATTTATAGCTCACAACAAGTTGGGTAAAGTATAGTTTTGCAAGCAAGATTTGAAATATTTTTCTTTCTTCTATCTGGTTCCTCCAGAGTTTGGAAACTTTGTGAGTATTCTTAATTTGTGGCTATATAGTTATTTGCATAAGTTCAATCATAATCAGAATCTGTTTTCTTCTGTAACAGGACATAATTAGAGGCACTGGCTATTTTATCAAGGCTTTGACTGGAATGGTATATTTTCAGATATGCCCAGACTGCTTTGAGAAATTGAGTTTGACTTTACAGAGTCAAACTTTGCAGGCCCTATGCAAAGACTGGCCTGATACCTCGTCTATGCAGTTCCTATTCAAAGTTCCTGACCTATGGTAAGTCAAATATGTCACTTTCTGACAGGTCTAGGAACATCAAATTATATTTGCACTTTGAGAACAGAGGAATTCACAAAATTCATTATTGCAGGCAGTCTAATGATAAATTCTTGCCCTGGATAGCCTCTTGAGGCTTTTCAAAGTCTAATCTGAAATTCCTTTAAAAAGTTCCAGCAAAGCCAATTTTAACCAAAAGCCTATATGGCCAATCACTATTCTTGCTGCACTTTATTCAAGTAAGCAGGCCAAGCATAATGAGACTAAAATTTATTATGCAAATAAATTGCTCCTATTATGATTTGTCTTTCATAAAAATGGCAGACTGGAGAGAAAAATTATGTTTCAGAAGAAAATTATAGTACATCCATTATTAGATTCTAGCCTTGCCCATTGTTTTTGAGTTTTTATCACTTGCTTACAATTTGGACTGAATTCTGAATTTTTTAATGGCTCCAAGTTTCCAAACTAATGTTTTTAAATTTTTCTTCTATTTTTCTGACTTGGACTCAATGAAATTGCTACTACCTGTTTCTGAGGCCCTGCAAGCATACCTTGTGACATACAAACTACAAATGAGAAAAGTCTGTCATATTGCCACTGAGTACTTTCACTTTAACTGAAGATGCTTCAAGTCTAACATCTAGACACCTCAACTGACTGTCCTCCAGACTCTAAGGAAACAGGTTTATTACATAGATTCTTCCAAACATTAGTTAATTTTTTTCTGTTTGAAAGCCCATCTGCAATGCCATCCTCCAAAATGAGATGCAGCTCTTTAATGAGACTTGCGTATCACCAGAAATGGGAGCCTGATTTAATGGGATTCTTTGCCATTCATCAGTTAACTCGGTTCTCCTCTCCACAGGCACCTGCTTACCTTTCAGTGTGCAAAATTTCTGGGGAGTTTTCAGACAGGGGCATGTTGAGGTTCAGAAAACAAAACCCTAATATATGCTACATTGGCAGGCTAAAGTGAAGAAGTCTCAAGGACTCTCTGTCCTTCCCTCTACCACCATCTCTCCCAAAGAAGTTGCAATTCCTTTTTCTGCCTAAAATCCAGACCCACCAAAAGGAATAATTGGTTTTTCTTCACCTCCCTTTAAGACCAAGTATATAACCACACCTGAACAGATCCTTTTACAATGCAATGTACAAGCTTATCTCTAATCCCTGATTCATTCATTCTTCCTAGTAATCCACTAGAGCTGAATTATTCTTCCCTCCCTTCTCATAACCTGTTTTGCCAGGATGGTATATAACCTGCAGAACCCTATTTAGGGGTAAGTGATAACTCTGCGATTCTCCCTGGGTATACATATTAAATAAATTTGTATACCTTTTATCCAATTATAATTAATTAATTATGGACTCTATCTTCAGTAGTAAAGAGAGCACTGATAATCTATGCTGTGATCTAGTAATAGAAATATGCAAAGTATCACCATTTGACATTCCTAATCAGCCACTTATAACAAACAAGGATATGTTTCACTATGTATACGATAATTTTGAATATTTTCATTGAACTAACAACTATCATGCGGTTAAATGGTTGCTCCTAATGTCATTGGACAAAGTGCGGGATACTAAGGATGAGCTTCAGGAATTCAAATTCCCAACTCAAATGGCATATAAATGACCTGAAAGCTTCTATGTATAAGCGGAAGATGCCCGTTGTTTCCTGTAGCCACAAATTGCTGACAACCAAACTCAGAACCTCATCCTGTGACTGGTTGACTTGCAATGCAAGTTGAACTCCCAACCTGGCAGGATGTCAACTGTAGAATCGAGGACACTGATTGAGAAGAATTAGGATATTGAAAATTTGAATAAAGATGTGTGGGAAGACACCGATAAGGCTGGGAATAGTGAACCCCTAAATTCTGACGAGTCTTCTTTGCCAGTGAAAGCAGCTCCCACACCTCCATTGGAAGTGACCTCTCCATTCCCGTCTGAGGAAATTAACCCTGAATTACTTGGGGAAATTGTAATGGCCTCTCTTGAGGGAATTCCCTTGCTATATCATGCTGATTATTGTTAGGGCCCACCCTCACCACTACTCTTTACTTCTAGACCTGTAACTAGACTCAAGTCCCAGCAGGCCCCTAGTTGGCCAACTTGCTGATACCATAGCAGGGTTTGGGGAAAGTTTTTTATTTTCCTCTTCTTTCTGTCTCACCAGTCATTGTGGTTGGGGCTCCAGTTAATCAGGTAGCTTTCAAAGAGACGCCCAAAGCCATAGATGTCTCCAGAGCATTTCAAAACTGCCTTTATTTCCCTTGAGATATTTAGTCCACTCACCCAAGCTCTGCCTGGTAATGATGTCTTTAGTTTCAGTATGAAAACTACCACTTTGTCTCAGATATTGGGTGACTTGTGATCTTCTTAGTTATCATCAGAATTATTCAATTCCTCTTTGAGATCTTTACTGCATCTTGTGTGTACTTTTGATCGTTATTCATACCATATTGTGATGATCTATTTGCTTGTCCTTCTCCACTAATATAGGAATTCTTTGAGGACAAATAAGGACAGTGGCTTAATTATTTCTGAGTTCCACAGGCCCAACAATAGGTCTTATTTAAGAATGATTTCTTCAGTGTTGAAAGAGTGAATCACACCAAACCACTAGACACATAAGGTCAATTTCAATGGCTCTATTTGCCACTGTTCACTTGTTATCTTGTTAAAAATAAACACATAAAATGGAAAACTTTATAAATCCCAACTTGGTTATAAAGGGGAACAAGATGACAACAGTGTAAAAATACACTCCTCATCTCAGCAAAAGAGAGAGGCTTTCCAAAATGAATCAAAATTAGCCTGGACAAGAAGTTTAAAGAAGGACTTTTCCCTCCAATTTTGTCTTGCATATGTTTATTTTTTCACTCTTCATCATCCCATCCAAATAGAAATTATCAATAGATCACCCTTGGCTTGGTGTCATATCCTCTTAATTGGTCCACTCACATCTGCTCATTCCCTTCTCCGACCTGCTCCCTTCTTTGTAGTCACAATAGCGTTTTCAATAGATCAGTATAAGGCATTGCAAACATACCCCTTCCACTCTTGAGCATGGCATAGGCCCTCTTTTGTCTGACCCTGGCTTACCTTTCAGGACTCATCTTTCACCATAGTCCCTCAGTCTCAGCACCCAGCTCACTGTTGTTCTTCTATTCTTTTCACAGGCCCTCTGCCCTTGCTAATCCCTCAGCTGGGAGCCCTCTTACTACCAGCCCTACTGCATTCATTTGTACTTACTCACCAGAGCTTGATGTTCACAAGGAAGTTTACCTGATATTTCTGGATAAGCGTGACCCTCAGGTCAGGAGTATTAACATTTCATATTCTAAGTTTATAGAATCCACGATGGAGAATATGTGGTTTTCCTCCTGATGCAAACACAGAACCTGGCACATAGCAGGTACACAGGGAATGTATGTTTAAGGGAAGAAAGAAAAAGAGAAGGAAAGAAAGGGAAAGAAGGGATGAAGGAAGGAGAGAGGGAAGGAAGGAGGGAAGATGCTAAATTGAGTAAATGGGAATTAGCTCATAACTTTCTACTTTTGGTCATAGCAAAGCTGACAGACTTTCTACTACACCATACCACAACTCTGATGAATTAGATCTCATTTAGAGGTATAATATGTATAAAGCAGCTACATTCAATTGAGCTTGGAATCCAAAGGGTCTCCCAGAGTCACATTTGGTGCTTCAGTCTTCCCAGAACCTGTGTCCTTCCCTTGATCCCTGATTTCCACTCTTAAATAGTTGTCTTCATGATAGAACTAGAGACAAATCTGGATATTCCTTTAAAAAAATAAATAGGAAAAGAACAAAAGGCCCATATGATGGCTGTGTAAACCAAACCAAACCCTTAAAGAAAAGACATTTTGAATCCAAGTAAAATAGAACAGTATTTGTTAAAGCTGAGAGAAAGGCATTATTAGTTAATCCTGAGGGCAGGGACACACCGAAGTATAAAATCTGGTATCCCACCCCCCCAAAAAGAGCTTTGAAGATCAAAGTCATACAAACAGAAGATCCTATAGAGAGTGAAAAAGTCTCATGACTTGATGCTTGTGTTATTAATTGCTGAACTCTAATTGCTGAACTCCCAGTTACTCTTGCAAAACATTATATAATTTTTGCTCTGGGCATAGATGTGATAATGCCTCAAAATAAACAAGACAGTCAATTAGAATAAGCCTGTTAAAAATTTACTCTGCCAAGACAAGCTGTAGAAAGTGGAAACAAAAATAAAATAGTGTTCAGGAATAGGGGATACATTTTGGGGACCAACAGTTATTTCTAATCTAGTAATTTATAAGGTCCAGGTGCTAATATAGCCATCCCTCTCTGCACCCATCCATCTAGTCTGAATTTTTCTGTTCTTGAAAGATCAGTCAGATAGCCTAAGGCACTGACCATTGGATTGGGGCTTGGCCCCAAAGTTCAGAATGAAGAATGTGAATAGCCTGAGACGGTCTTAGCAAAGGAAGCCAGGACTGAATAAAAACACCAGTTTCAAAGGAGAAAATACAGCATGATAATGAAGTACCAGGAAATATATTCAAATACTCATGGTGTTTGGCTTTTATTTAAGAGCTATCGCATGCATGCTATAGGAGATTAAGGGGCTTCAGCTGTTTTAAAAGTCATACACTGAGATGCTTCTATCTATTCATCACCTACCTAAACACCCATCTATGTTTTCATATATCCAACCACCCATTTTTAGTGCAGCAAGTTGGATTAGAAGCAATGGACTGGAGTCAAAGCAAAGTGACTCTTGACCTGGGCCTGATCACCTATATTTATGCAGCATATGCCACCCAAACAGGAAAAGACTAAGCAGCTTTTTCAGTGGTATTAGCTCCATCTTATCATCTGCTATCTAAGGCTGTATTTTAGACGTAGGAAATTTTATCATGGTAATTAGATAGGACAGTTGGTGTATTTCAACTACAAAAATACTTTCATTTCTTCATCTGCAAAAGGGAGCTAATACTAGAACCTTCCTCATATGGCTATTGTGAGGGTTAAATAAATTAACAAATGTAAACAATAGTACCTGGCATTATTATAGGTATTTAAGAACACCTATAAGTGAGTGCTAATTGAAAGAGTACTATCAAAAATCATATTCAGAGTCCAAAGTGCTCACCACTACTCCATGGATGCTTAACATTTGTACCCCCCAAAATATGCTGAAAAAATAAATAAATAAAAAAATTTAAAAAATCATATTCATTTGATTCTTCCAAAATACTTGCCCATGAAGTGAATTTCTTCTCTTTTGTGAAACACTTCATTTTTTTAACACTCCCTAAAATAATTGACCTCCTCAACTGTAGGGTTGGGGATTAATTCTGCCTAGTCTCCCTAGTGCATGGTAAATACCAAATAAAAGTGAATTGAACAATTAAAGTTGTAAAACCCTCCTGGAGGCTTCTGTAATATGCCCCCTCCACTGTCTCTTTTCTGCCACTGCCCTGGTTTTGTTCTCATCTTTTCTCATCTTGATCGTTGCCACAGCTACCTGACTGGACTCGTTGCTGCCAGACCTATTTTTCTCTCATGTGTTCAGAGTCATATTCACCAAATTAAATTTGACCATGCCCTTTTTAAAGCCCTCAGGGACTCACCATCTCATGCAGGATAAAGCCCTTACTCCTCAGTGTTGTTCACAAGGCTCTTGACCAGGGCACTTCCCCTCCTCAGTTTGCTTTCCTGCTAAGTCTGTAGGCTGCCTTGCACTGAAAGGTTTTAAGTTCCTCAAATGCTAGGCCTGATTAATTTTTATATTTAAAGTTTATTTTCATCTTTTAAGAAGGATGTGCAAGTGGATGCAAAGTTGTGCACTCCCTGTCCATAGTGGGTTTTAAGCCTACAGTGAGAGAAAGACTTGTGGCAAGTAGCTATGATATGATATAGAGAGTGTTATAGAAGAAATGCACATAATCCACCAGGGAGTGGATCATGATCCCCAATGCCATAATCTCTAATGCAGAAATTCTGACAGATCAAAAATCCCAAAAATATAATTCTGAAAAAAAATAATAAAAATTATTTGGAAGATATTTAGAAAAATTTATTTGGAAGATATAAGATATCCCTTATATTTTAAGGGATATTGACTTGTGAAACATATTGTAACATTACCAAACACTTCATAGGCCACTTTGTGCAATAAAATAGGCAATAATGAGGAGGAGAGGCAAGATGGCTGACTAGAGACATCGCTTACCTTGATCTCAGATAAAGGAGACGGAAGAAGGGACACAGCTCAGGTGAAGATCAGTGAGAGAAGGGCTGGAACCTGCCAGGGACCTCACAGAGGAAAACTGTGAAGCAGAGAAGAAGAGGATAAAGGGAAAAAAGATATCAGCAAGGAACCAAACTCAGAGAAGCTCAGAGCCCAGTGCAGGGATAAGGGGAGATCCCTCTCTTCCTCCCACACTCCTTCAGTGTGGGATCTGAAGGGCTACCAAGTTACTAGGAAGATTTTCTACCCCTCAAGCCCAAGCACTGTGGCAACCCAAAATTGTGTGGAGAACTTGCATGATGCCAGAGCTTGGACACTCCGTGTGTGGGTTTCCTCTCCAAGAAGAGTGAACCAAGAGGCGGGAGAGCCGGCTCTCTTCCATTCAGACTTTTATCCCACCCCACCCTTCCCCCACCCACTACAACCAGGAGAGCAGGTTGAGCTGAGAATTTTGCCAGCAACCCTCTCCCTTCAACTGGCATGTCCTGCATTCTGAGGTTTCCATAGAGACTGGGGCCCACACCTTTCCCCTTGAGGACCTGCAGGGGACCCGGGGTGTCCAATGTGGGAGCTCCCTACCAGCCAGCATTTCACGGAGACTCATGCCAACAGATTAGACACTCAGGCCGGATCCTGTGCCCTGAGGACTCAAGAGGGTTGCTGGGAGACACAGTGGGGTGGTTTGGGAACCGGACTTGGGAAGCAAGGGAGCCCACATGGGTGGAACTGATGGGAGAATACTGTGAGGATCTGATACACAGAGATGGGGTGAATCGCCCATCCTCTCCATGGAGAAAGCTGCACTGTCGAACTAGGGTAGGTCCCGGGGCAGGGAAGATCCCAGCCTGCTGGCGGTACCATAGCAACCCAACTGAGTACAGCACATTCAGGCAACTGAGGGAAGGGGTAATGCAAGAGGGGTGGGGGCTCATTCCCTACAGCCAGTCTGGGAATTGCAGCCCCCTCTCCCAAGAAGCCTCTGGGTTTGGAGACCTAGCCTTGACCCTCCTCCCAGCAGCATTCCCTACTCTCTGGGACAATGACATTGGAAGCACATTAGGGCTCAAAGCCTGTTGGACTAGAGAGAGTCCCCAGGTAGAGGGTAGATCATAGCCCACGGCACCATGGCAACCAGTGCAGCGTCTTCAGGACTCAAGGACAAATGCAACATGAGAAGGGCAGAGCTCACTGTCAACAACCAGTCTGGGAATTGCAGCCCACCCCTCATGATCTGTCTTCCCAATATGGAGAGGCAACCCTCCTCCCTGAGGCTCTCTGAGCCCTGCCTAGGCTTTGCAAAGCCTTCCAGGCTTGCACAACCTAACCAAACCAAGCCTTGCCCCTCCACCCACCTCTGCTCTGGGGGAGATCAAGCAACCCTCTAGGAGCTACAGGGGCCCTCCCAAAGCCTGGGTCACTCAAGTGCTCCATCTGAAGGACTAGAGCTTATCATAGACACAAAAGAACATCTATGCAGTTGGTTCTTTACTGCAAGCATCAACCACTGATAGGGAGAACAAGTCTATAGCTCATTACAGCATCTACCAACTCAGTCAAACAGGGTATGGCTGATTCTTACCCACAAGCATCACCCTCCATCTTGGAGATTAAGCTGAGAGTCCAAATATAATTCACATTGCTCAAAAGACTTCTCAGCATAAACCTTATAAGCCAGAAGAGATTATGGCCCCATCTTCAGTTGATTTAAACAGAATAAGTGCTAGCAATTTTGTATCCTGCAAAACTATGTTTCACAATAGACAGAAAAATTAAGTCTTTTCCATACAAGCAAACACTGAGGGAATTTGCCATGACAATACCTGCTCTGCATGAAATACTCAGAACAGCACTATACATGGATTAGCACAACAGATATCTACCAGTGTAAATTCACCTAACCTCTCCTCCCCAAATTACAACTCCTATAGAATAGAACAAGATGTAAAACAAATCAATACAGGACTACCCAACAGGATGAACAGACCTACATCCCACATATCAATGCTATCAATCAAAGTTAAGGGGCTGCATACTCCTTTCAAAAGACATAGATAGGCCAGCTGAATGGATCAACAAACACAACCTAAATATCTGATGTCTCCATGAAACACATCCAAACTACAAGGACATACACAAACTCAACATGAAAGATTGGAAAACAATATTCCATGCACATAGACATCAAAAGAAATCAGGCATAGTCATTTTCATATCGGATAAAATTGATTTTAAGCCAACAAATGTAAAGAAAGACAAAGAAGCTCATTATATACTGGTAAAGGGAGCTATGCTATAAGAAGACATAGCAATTGTAAATATATACGTGTCCAACACAGGATCTTCCAGATGCATAAAGCAAATTTTAATAGAGCTAAGCAAAGAAATAAATGGTACCATTAAAATTGCCAGAGACATCAACACACCACTGTCAGAGTTCAACAAATCAAAACAGAAAATAAATAAATCGTGGACTTAAATTAAACTCTTAATCAAATGGATTTAATAGGCATTATAGAACATTTTACCCACAAACTACAAAAGATACATTCTTCTCAGCAGCACATGGGACATTCTCCAAGACTTATTATGTGTTAGGCCAAAAATAAAAAAAAAAATCACACCATATACCTTCTCAGATCACAGTGGAATAAAACTAGGAACCAATTAAAAGAGAAACACTCAAATCTACCCAATGTCATGGAAATTAAAAAAAAATCTACTGAATGATTACTGGGTCAATAATGAAATTAGGATGTAAATCAAAAAATTATTTGGACCAAATGACAAAGGGGACACAAGCTATCAAACTCTATGTGACACAGCAAAAGCATTCCTCAGGGCAAAATTCATAGCCTTAAATTCCTACATCAGAAAGACAGAAAGATCACAAATTAACAACCTAAGATCATATCTCAAGGAACTAGTGAAAGAAAAACAAACCAAACCCAAGCCAACAGAAGAAAAAAAAAATAATGAAGGCCAGAGAAGAACTAAATGAACTGGAAAAAAAATCACAAAGGCTTACTGAAAAACAAAAACAACAACAACAACAAAAAACTTGGTTCTTTGACAAGATAAACAAAACCTACAGACCTCTTGATAGACTAATCAAGAACAGAAGAGAAAGTACCAAATACACTCAATCAGAAATGAAAATGGTGACATTACAACTGATAAGGCAGAAATACATAACATCATCCATGAATACTACGTAAATTTCTATGTGCACAAACTAGAGAACACAGAGGAAATGGGAAAGTTCCTGGAAACACACAACCTCTGAAGACTCAACCAGGACTATATAAAACTGAACAAATCAATAAAACAGTGATATCAAAATAGTAACCAAAAGCCTGCCAACAAAAATAGCCCTGGATCAGATGGATTCAAGCTAGGTTTTATCAGACCTAAAAAGAAGACCCAGTACTTATAATACAGAAATTATTCCATAATATTGAGAAGGAAGGAATCCTCCCCAACTCATTCTACAAAAGCAGTATCACCTTGGCACCAAACCAGTGACAGGAAAAAACACAACAAAAAAAGAAAACTATACACCAATATTCTTTATGAATATAGATAAAATACCAGCAAACCAAATTCAACATCACATCAAAATAATAATCCACCAAAGCCAAGTGGGCTTCATTCCAGGGATGCAAGCATGGTTCAACATGGGTAAATTTCTTTTGTTTTTTTTTTAAGACAGAGGCTTGCTCTGTTGTTCAGGCTAGAGTGGTATGGTGTCAGCCTAGCTCATAGCAGCTTCAAACTCCTGGGCTCAAGTGATCCTCCTACCTTGGCCTCCCAAGTAGCTGAGACTACAGGCATGTGTTATCATTTCTGGCTAATTTTTTCTATATATTTTTAGTTGTTCAGCTAATTTTTTCTATGTTTAGTAGAGACAGGGTCTCACTCTTGCTCAGGCTAGTCTCAAACTCCTGAGCTCAAACTATCTGCCTGCCTTGGCCTCCCAGAGTGCTAGGATTACAGGCATCAGCCCGACACGTGTAAATTAATAAATGTGATTCACCACATAAACAGAAGCAAAAACAAAGACCATATGATCATCTCAATAAACATAGAAAAAGCCTTCAACAAAATCCATCTCCCTTTCATGATAAAAACCTTCAACAAACTAGGCATAGAAGGAAGATTTTTCAGAATTATAAAAACTATTAATTTATATGGTAAACCCACAGCCAACATCATACTTAATAGGGAAAATTTGAAAGCTTTTCCCTTAAAAACTGGAAGAAGACAAGGCTGTCCATTGTTACCACTTCTATTCAACATAATGCTGGAAATCCTAGCCAGAGTAATCAGACAAGAGAAGAATATTAAAAGTATCCAAATCAGGAAAGAAGAGATCAAACTATTACTCTTTGCTGATGATACAATCCTATATCTAGAAAATCCCAAAGATTCCACCAAGGATCTCCTGGAATTATTATGTCTCAGGATACAAAATCAATGTACATAAATCAATGGCTTTTCTAGATACTAACAACACTCAGGGTGAGAGTCAAATCAAAGACTCAATACCATTCATAATAGCTACAAAGAAAATAAGATACCTAGGAATATACTTAACCAAGGAGATGAAAGATGTCTACAAGGAGAACTACAAAACTCTGAGGATTGATATTAGAGAGGATACAAACAAATGGAGAAATATAGTATGGTCATGGATAGATAGAATCAACATTGTTAAAATGACCATACTACCCAAAGTGATTTACAAATTTGATGAAATCCCCATCAAATTACTAAAGTCACACATCACAGATCTATAAAAAATAATTCTACACTTCATTTGGAACCAGAGAAGAGCCCAAATAGCCAAAGAAATCCTAAACAAAAAGAATAAATCTGGAAGCACCACATTACCTGACTAAAACATGACCCCTACCTCTCACCACTCACAAAAATTAATTCAAAATGGATAAAAGACCTAGATGTAAGGTGTGAAACCATAAGAATTTAGAGGAAAATGTAGGAAAATCTTTTCTAGATATTGTTCTAGGCAAAAATTTATAACTAAGTCCCCAATGGCAATCATGGCAACAACAAAAATTA